TGAGTTGAGACGCTTTCCTCCACTTCCACCATGATGTTCCTGACCCGGAGCCAACTGACTGTGGACTGAACCTTCTGAAGCTGTGAGCCAAAATAAACCTCTCTTCCTTTCAGTTGCAGGTGTCAGCTGTTTGGTCCCAGCACTGGACAGGTGACAAATATAATGGTATCATGTAATGTCGGGACTGGCTAGAAAAGTCTGAGATCGCCCAAGGTGTGCATGCATGTTCGGGGGTCTGCTTTGGGTTTTCAAGTTCTGATGGCCTTGCTTCCTGTGTGTGGATTCCACACTGTATTTTGTTGTTGTTGTTGTTCGTCTTCCTTGCTTGAGTGAAACTGAGTGAGTTTCTATTAGAGGGATCCAGAACTTTTATCAGCTACTTCTTAGTCAGCCAAGGAAACTCTCTGAGGACATAATCCCTTGTGTCTCAGTCTGTAATGCTGTTTGGTACAGTGTAGCTCCTTGATATTTACTCCTTGTTAACGAACATTTAATAAACTGAGAATATTTGTGACTTGTGAATTGGGACTGAACTTTGTTTTGTTAGGAATTGAGGTTGTATGGCTATCGTGGCAATCATTCATTTGTTTATTCACTGACATTAATACCAAACTGAAAGATTAAAAAAAAAGTCCAGGCTGCTAGGAAGGCTGAGACAGGAGGATTACAAATTCAAGACCAGTCTGGGCAAGTTAACTGAAACTTGTCTCAAAATAAAATTAAAACTAAAAAGGGATGAGGATGTAGCTCAGTGATAAAGCACTTGTCTAGTTTGTACAAGGCTCTGGGCTTGATTTCCAGCACTGCAAAAAAAAAAAAAAGTCCACTGCCTAATTAAGGAGGTTTCCTGTCCAGTGAGACAGCACTTCGACAGAGAGATCACTGTTTGACTGGCTAGCATAGCCCACGTTCTGTGTTTCCTTCCTGTGTCTGGGGGGCTGGTTGCTCCTTTGCGTAAGCCCCAAGGCTCTGGCAAGCCGGGAAGCCCCGGCACTGCCATTAGCCCAGGGCCAGGTGGGAGCCCCCGCCACAGGGATGGTGAGCGTCCCTTTCTCCAGCTAAGGCGCCAGCTCCCCACTCTGTTCTCACTGTCCGCTTGCAACTGGTTGAGGACACCTCCCAGTCTTCCTGGCCGTTGGTCATGCCTGAAGCCCAAGAGGTGCCCAGCAGTCCAGATATGCACATGCAGGATTTTTAGTGAAATCCTGGAATCTCTTCAGTCCCCATTCCCAGATTTCATAATGAGCCAGCATATGTTCAGATTTAAAGGATTTCCCTTCCCTTTGCTCTCCTGTCCCAGGTGGAAGCTGGTAACATCCTTCAGCCAAGCATCTACTCTGATTAATGAACTTTTAAATTATGATTATGAATTATTGCATGACTAACATATCCATGTAATATCTTCTTTTTACCACTGACAGTGCGCCATGCACTGGCTTAGTCCTGGGGAAAACGGAGAGGCCAGCGTCTTGGAGCCTGGGCCAGTGGGTGTTTCACAGAGTGACCCAGGGTGCAACCCACAGGAGAGGGCAGGCTCAGGGGCAGCGTCCCAGCAGCCCATGCAGTCATGCGGAAGCCAGCGCCGGAGGAGAGAGCTCGGTGCAGACAGGCAGAGAAGGCGCGGGTCAGGGAGCACCAGCCTGAGACCAGTGGCCACACCTGAGGGACAGGGAAGGAGGAGAAAAAAGGGGCCAAACTGTCGCCTTTCCAAAAACAAACACTGGTTTGAACCAAAATAACTGGCTGTGGGTGAGAATCCCATGATCAAAACAAATGCCCCAGTTGTCACTGAACTGGAAACTGTTTTATTGATGTCAAGATGTTTAAAAATAAGAGTGGGATTCTAAAATAGGCCTATTCTCCCCTCTGTGCTTTTTCCTCCCCTGGGACGGGAACTTCAGACAACCGGGGAGCCCAGAGTGTCTCTTCAACACCAAGGAAGAGCCAAGAGGCACTGTCTTGTTGGAGACAACAGCTAAAAGCCTGCAGAGCAAGGATCCGGGGGCAGGGGCAGGGAGCAGCTGCGGCAGGTGAGTCCAAAGCCCAATGGATGAGGACCCGAGCCGGCGGCTCAGCGTGGGTGTCTAGCAGTGCGGTCCTCAGGGTGGCAGAGTGGCAGGGGGAGCATTTCCAGTACCAGGCGCCCTCTCATTGAACCTGATGGAGCTCCCCGTGGTGGGACTGGTAGGATCGGACCAGGTGAAACCCTGCATCCAACAATCTCACGTCCCACGAGTGTGCCCACTGCACAAGCCTGAGCCTGCGTTTCCCCAGGGCCCAGCGGGAAGATAGAAAAAGCCCCGCTCGCACCAGTGGGCACAGCTGGCAGCTCCGTCCTAGCGTGTGGAGGACAGGAGGGAGCGAGCGAGCGAGCTCTCCACTCTGCTCCCCACCCTAGCAGGTGTGCTGTGCACAGAGTCTGCTGCCCCACCCTTGCCCAGGAAGGGACTCCCCAAGACTCGAACCCGTGCGGCCGGTGCTGAGCCAGCAGACCAGGAGGGGGCAGGGGTACTGGGTCTTCACTCCTCTTGTAGGTCCGGGCTCACATCCTACGGCAAACTTCCTGCCTCCATCACAGGGGACAGACAGACAGGCAGGCAGGCAGACGGCAGTGATCCGCTTTCTCAACAGTTCCAGCGCAGAGTCCTGTGACCCGCTGTGCAGTGCTGGACCTGACCGATCGCTCACAGCCCTCCTTCCTTCGGGCACGCCTTTGCACCGAGCTGCCTTCCCAGCCCACCCCTGTCAGCTGCGTATTCTGAGACGTTGTCTCCCTAAGTCACTGAGTTGCCCAGGCTGGGCGCAAACTTATGATCCTCCTGCCTCAGCCTCCCAGAGCACGGTGAAAATAGGCCTGGCTGGAAAGTATCCTCTACATGCATCATCTTCACTGTCCTCTCAGCAGCCCTAGATCAGGACTGCTTCGTCATCTTGTATTCCAGATGGGGAGACGAGGCACAGAGATGAGTTCCCGAGGCAGGGAGCCAGCCGACTCGAGCCCCACACTGGGGTCACAGAGCATGCTGGTCGGCGCCAAGCTCCTGTCGGGCCGAGGGGCAGTGTGGAGAGCAGCTCTAGGGTCAGCTCCCCTGGCTCACAGGGCCGGGGCGCCCCGGGGGATCCTGGCTACTCCTCCCCAGAGGAGAAGGCTGGGCAGGGGGCCTCTGCTCTCTACAGCGAGATCCGGAGGAGTCCGGACAGAGGGGAGCGTTCTCTCAGTCTGGTGTTGGGCCCCAACTTCAAAGCCCAGGGGTCATGGAAAGCGCAGGGAAGGCCGTGCTGCTGAGAAGGCCCTGCGGGCTCTGGGGTCAGGGAGAAGGCAGCCAGCCCGTCTGCAGCTCCCTTGCTCTCAGGTGTAAAGTGCACGGAACTCCCTGGCTCTGCACTGGTGGGCTGGAGCGCTCACACACGGCAAATCCTCAGCCCAGTGCCTGGCACACGGCCTGTTCTCAGGCCCCATGGGAATCTCGCTTCTAGGGCTCTGCTAATATCAGTCTGGGGATTCTGCCTCTTAGGCCAAAGTCTCCTCTGAATTCTTTACTCCCTTGTTTCGGATGACAAGATCCAGGACTTCTTTTAGTACCTGTGGTTCTCGAAGTCCCAGGGCCCTTTTCCACATCTCACTTTGGGCTTGGTGCCGTGGCCAACATGGCCAGGGCTCTGGTGCTCACCTCTTCCTCTCCAGGGCTGCAGAAATAGGGCCCCTGCGCCCTTTGGCCTGCAGGGCTCCTGGGCCAGGCTGCCCCTGCTAGAGGTCAGGCCCGCTGGCTTCCCTAGGCTCTGCACCGATCGCCCAAGCCCACTGCCTCTGGCGGGCCTGCCGGGCGCAGCCCCCAGAACCCAGCCCCTGCTGCCTCCCTGAGAATCCTGCCAGAGCTCTCTACTGCGACACCAGGACCTGATGACAGCAGCAAGTTGGGTTCCTTTTTGTAGCAAATGACAAGAGATCCAGCTGAAACAAACATAAACCACTCTGTGATAGAAAAGTCAGGGCGCAGCAGGATGTGAAATTGCCAACCAAATTATCAAGTCTGTGCCCGTCTTTGCCCTCTGGTGGCTTCATTTGGCCAGAGCTCCCCAGTCAGGCGGCAGAGGCAGCTCACCTGTGGCTGCCTGCGGTTCCTCTCGGGCATTGCTCCTCCCACATGCTTGCCCTTCGAAGCAAGGTGGTGACTTCGAAGATTTCTCTACCAGTGGTAGAATACCTCTGCCTTCTCTCTGAGGTTGGGTGTAGCTAGTGATGCATTTCATTGAAGGAACATGGTTGTGAACCACAGGACATCAGTTCTGAGCCTTGGTCTTAAGATCTCCATTTGCCCTTCTCCACTGCTGGTGGGAGTGCAGACTGGTGCAACCAC